AGTTGACGTGGAAGGGTGAGCTTTGCTCTTGTGCCTGAGCAAAAAGCTTGGATGCTTCAAGTGTAACAGTCCAGGCTTTCTGTAGTGGGAAGCCAGGCATGGCCCCCGCTGGGGCACCTTGTTTGCTCTACTGCAGAGCTCAGATTTGATTTCCAAGATAGTGGGTCTTGATTTCTCTGCTTGTAAATTGCAGATCAGTGTGTTTACCCATGTTATGCAGCCATTGTGTGGCTGAAAGGCTGCCTGAGAGTCTGCAGATAATTGAGTTGCTGTGTAAGAATGTGGAATGGAGTCCTGCTAAATTAGCTGTCAGCCTTTCTGTAGTTATTCCTGTGAAGATATATCCATAGACGGGTGTCTTAAAGATGCTTTGAAATATGGTCAGGCGAATTGGTTCACTTAAAGAAAGAACATGTCTAAATTACAGTCCCATTTCTCTCTGTATTTGACACAAGCTCATCTCTAAGACTGCAAAGCCAAAAAAATCCCAGGCCGTGGTGTTCTCCATTTTGCTCTTTCTTCTCTCCCATTTTGGCAGCTTGCATGCCACTGGCTGGGTATGTGAGAGGGCAGTTGGCAGCATTGGCCATGGGACACCTTGAAGCCTGGTTTAAAGCAAGACTTACTGAGGAGCTTGTTGGGAGCCTTCTTCAGCGTGACTCTCCACCCTGCTGTGCTGCTCCCCGGCGGTATCTTGGGTCCAGCCAACGCATGGGTCATGAAGACATGGGGATGAGCTGGCTGGCCATGTTGATCTGCAAGGTGACTGACTGCTGCGTTTCTGGGTACAGTCTGAGCTCGGGGAAGGTTCTTTGTGGCCGTTCCCCGGTTTTGTTTGTGACTGAAATGCAGTCGCTTTTTCTGTCAGTGTTTGGCAGGAGGTGAAGCAACTGCGCTGTTCTGGCTGCCCTCTGACAGCTCTCACAAGGATACTGGGACTTGAGACAAGCATGAATCAATTGGCTTCTCAGAAAAAGTCTGGGAACTGGCTCTCTGCCACTCTGCCTGGAAGTGGGACAAACCCAACGTCATCGCTCTGTTCTCCTTCACTTTGCTCAAATGCCCCCAAATCCTAGGCTAGAAAAATGGTCCACAGAGCCAAGGCAACCAGCACGGTGTTTCTGTTGTCAACAGTGACTGAAAGAACCAAAGTACTTGGCTTTGCTTGGTGATCTGAAGCAGAGAAATTGGGATTGAACTGTCAGGGGATAATCTGTAATGAGCAATGGTGTGAGTTTTTGCCCTGGGAGGAGTGATGCACAGCAGGGGGGCAAGGCTGGAGACTCCCAGGCTAACAGCACAAGCTGCTGCTGCTGAAGCCAAGGAGCTTTGCTCCCCAGTTGCATGCTCTACCTGCTCGCTCTCTGCAGAGCTGCCTCCGAGTTAGGAAACCCGTAGGGATGGAAGGATGTTGCTTCCAAGAAATCATATCAGAAGATGTTCTTGTGGTTATTTAGTCTGCCTTCCCGTGTGTGGAAGATCAGAACATGTAGGGGCAGGTGGCAGATGCTGCCAATGCTGTCCTTTGGTTCCTGCAACATTCCTATCTCTGGAGCTAAACTCAGGCAGCTGAAGTCTCTGCATCTTTCAGCAGCATAGCTTTTGTCTTGTTGGTTGACAAGATTATGGTCATGTTTCATGGCATTTTTGGCTATCCAAACGCAGGCTTGTTTCAGCATCATTGCTGGAATGTTAAAATGCTTTAGTTTGATTTTGCAAGGTCTGTTATACTCAATAACACAATTTGCTACTTCCATTCTTGTTTAATTAACTTTGAATTAAAAGGATATGTCTAAAATTAAACATGTTCTTGTCAATTTAAGATTACTTCTTAATAATAATATATTTGGACTTTGAACAGAGATTAAAGTTTAGTATATTAGTTCCTGTTAGGCAGCTTAACATTTTTAATAGAGAGAAAAATCTGTCTTATGTAACTAAGCCTATAATTCTAAATGAAACTGATTTAGCTGATCTGATAAATTATTAGTGAAATTGGAAATTAGATAAATTCTGGTTCAGTAGCATCTAGTTTTAGAACATGATTGTAAGGAAACATGAATGGGAAGGGGATGGAAGTGTACCTGTTGGTAATGTAATAGTTAGAGAGGACGAAAGTACTTTAATAAAGATTTAAGACTACCTCAACTGACAGGACTCAATTTCCTCCCACAATGAAACATAAAACAGTGCTGAAGATGTCCCTGTTAGAAAATGAGGATCATCACAGCTCCTATGAGGACCATAAATGTATTGAATAAACTTGGATGAATCAGTAACTTTGAGTAAGAAATAATCAATTTATCTAATTTATTGCTCTCAAGAGTTTCATCTGGGGTTTATGGGATTGCAGGGTAGAAGTAGTGGGAGCAGGATCAGGCACATGAACTGAAGCACAGCAAAAGGTGAAGGGACAGATGATCCCATGCACTGCAGAGAAGAAACCTCAAAACTGAGCATTAATTTGTCTTAGTTTGATCTATCTAGTACAACCCATACTGTAGGTATGTAGCTGTTTGCTATGAGCTGCTATTAGGTGGTGCTAACACTTCTTCCATAGGCAGGAGTTTCTTCAGCTTGGTTGTAGACAGCTGGTGGTTTCTGAGGAATTGGCTCATTTCTGATCCTAAAAATACATTAAATACTTTCTTCATCTTACTTAGTGCAGCAGAACTGCCCCAAGACTAAACCCTGCATCTGTGAAGTGTAGGAATTGCAGGACCCAGGGGGCAGTGTGGCTGGGAGGGGTCAGCCTGTGCTAAGGAGATGACTGGGAATCTCGTGTGAAGCGCCAGAAGGACTCCAGATGTTAAAGATCTGAACAAGCTCTGGGTGCACAGGAGACTCGTTGGTTTGTAGATGTGTTTTCAGTGCCTGTGTCGCACACACCGCTGTGGCTTAGATAGCAGAGCAGTTCCCTGCTTGGGAACTGGTGGGGTGGGTCCCTAGGTACTAAGCATGGGTCCTCCCTACCATCTCTGTGGCCCACAAAAGGCTTACATGTATGGTGGTTATTCCGTTCTCTGATACATTTTAGTGAGCAACCAGAGCTTGTGTGCATGCGGAACAGAGCTTTAGGTGCCAAAACAGATTCTGGGCATGCCAAAATGATTGCACTGGGTTACAGGAGTCTCTGAGCCCAAGCTGGGTTGCGGGATGCATTCAGTAAAGCATCCTGAAAGTCCTTGAAAGAAGAGGTCAGAGATGCCATTGACTTAAGAGCTGTGAGAAGCTGCGTGTAGCTCTTGTTTGTGGTATTTGCATAAGTTACGTATGGCTGAATATTTTGTCCTCCGCTTTGTATCTAGCATGCAATGAGTAGTTTCCTCCATCTGTAGTGAGACACTGCATTGTCATTGTAATGATTCATTGTTCTGTACACAGTTTATCATCCTGAAACCAACTTCTAGAAGATGCTGGGTACGTTTCCAGGATGTGAACTAGCTCTGTGGGCAATTAGAGGTTGGGGTCAGGACCACAGATAATACACTGCTGAAATGGTCAGTTCTGTGTTGGTGAAATTCAGAAGGACTGGGAAGCAAATTAAAGTATAAAGGCCCAACTGTTCAGTTGGACCCAACCTTAAATCTGTTTGAACAAATGTTGATGAGCAGAATTGGCCCATTTGGCTATACAGTCTGTGCACCGTGTTCTTGATTTGAATTGCAGTAAATGTGAACAAAAAACTTGGTGTTCCAGTGTTATGCATGCAAACCTAAGCTGTGTTTGGTGATGCATAGTGCTGGTGCACAGCCCAAATGTTAGACCAGTCTTTGAAAAGGCAACCAAACAGGTTTGCTACAAAATTGCACTCAGGGTCCACAGTTCAGGTTTCAAAAAGCAGAATCCCAGGACGCTCAGCTTTCTCCTTCTGATACCTGCTTACTCTTTTCGGCACCACAGTGCAGAACTGCCAATGTTTGGGAAGCTCCAGACTGAGCTTACTTCTTCAGGCGTTAGTCCTTTAAGAGTAACTACATTTAACATAGTAATAGAGTTTCAAAGCCATTCCTGGAGATATTCCAGGCCAGGCTGGTTCTGAGCAACCTGGTCCAGTTGACAATGTCCCTGCTCAACGCAGGGGGTTGGATGAGATGAGCTTTGAAGGTCCCTTCCCACCCAAACCATTCTGTGAAATCTTTTTCCTTTCTTGCAGGGTAGGTGGGTTCGTAAGGGTTTTTAACACAACCAAGAAAGAACATTCTCAAAGCATCAAAAATAGGTAAATTGGCAATCGAGTTCCCCAGTGTGAAGTTCATTCCCAACGCTACTCTGATGTGGGAGTAGCATTTTGTTCAACTTCAAGCTGTTCTGCCAAGTTCAGTTTTAAGGGTGTGCAAAAAATCCTGGAGATTCTTGAGTCTTCCTAGGTTGAAAATCCAAACCAATGTTGTTTCCATTTCTGAGCCCTGGCTGCTTCCATCCCAGCTGCAAATCAAGTCAGGGATGAAGAAGGTGCTTTCATACTTCAGGAGAATGCCAGCTTGGATTTATGCCTGGTACAAGGGTAAAAGGGCAGAGCATTTTCTAACTAAGATTGCCACTTTCTAGTGCACAGTGTTACGGTTGATTCGCTTCATATAAAAAGAACATAATATAGTTCATTTCATTTTGTAGTTATCAGAAAATACTCAGAGAAGTGACCCTACTGGGTTATGGTTTTCTGCCAGTGACTCACACAACCCGGTCCCTGGGCTGAGTGTTCTTGAGGATCATCTTTGTGTAAGATGGAAAAATCCCAGTCACTGCTTTCAGCAGCAGTTAAATAAGCTCCATCTTGAGCAGCTTGGAAGCAATCAACTGTGGTGAGCTGAGCTCAGCTCCAGGCTCCATCCTACGCGAGGCTCTGACCCAACCACATACAGACTACTAGCTATGCTGTTGTGCTCCAGGGACTGTTCAGAAACATTTCCCTTTGTACAAAAGCTGTGTGAGTGATATGTGCCAAAAGGATACACAGATTGCCACATATTTGGGCTTTAATATGTTCTGTTTTCCAGGGAAAGCATCAATTACCAGTAGATTGACAGCCAGTGCACCTTGGGCACTGATGTCTGCAGTCCCAGCCCTGCCACAGAATCAGGCAGCCCCAGATCAACACAGATTAAACAAGCTTTTGGGAAGTTGTGAGGACTCTCCCTGAGCTGCACCATAACCAACAGCATCACATGAAAACAGAATGATCAGGTAATTATTAGAGAACAATAACATTGTTGGGCTGACTGGGCTATACACCAAGGGGCTGTCAATCATGGTTATTATGAAGAGCAGAGCATTTAGAGGCTGTCAATCATACCTGCTTGTAAAAGCAGAAGGACTTCAGGAGTAATGTAACACCTGGATTTACTAAATGCAGAAATAACAAAAGCCTCCGAGTCTTGTGCAGGCTGCGATTAGAGGTTACATAGAAGTTCTTGCATAAGTTTATGCCTTTATTCATCTGCAAATATCTTATGACACTGGGAACTTGGAAGGGTTTATTTTTCAGCCAGCTCCTTTGTATCACTGATTGTTTTTAGGGCTGCTTAAATGTGTCAAATCTGGGAACAAAAAAGGAACTTTTGTTCCATTCCTTTGCTGTGAAGCAAAAATTTGGGGAGTTGGTATGCAAATAGCAAAAATTTGAGCCTGACCATCCTAAATAGATGGAGAAAGACCTGCCCAGAGTCATCAGCGAGCCGATGGCAGATCCAGAGGTGGAAGATACATCTCTTTGATGTTCTCAGGAGTTTTGTAGGTGGACATGGGCCACACCACCTCCCCTGGTAGCATGCCCGTGTACCGCAGCAACAGGCATCATCTCGCCAAAGCACTCACGCAACTGGTAGTTAATTCAGTGAATTTTAAAAGCAAATGTTAATAATTAAACTCAAGTGGTTAATGAGTTCCTAGAGAAAAGATCAAATTATACTCTTCAAACATGGAGTTAGAATTTTGTCTGATTGGAAGAAATATGTTTTTCCCATGAGGGGCAGTTGCTGAAGTGACAGTTTGGAGACTGTTGTGACAGCATTTGCAGAGATGGGTGCCAGCCAAAGAACAGAGCTTTTTTAGTATCTCTGGTAACATAGTAGTTTCTTTTGAAAGCATAATTATGTTGCATTCCTTGCACAGTTCATTAGGAAAAGAAAAACAAAGAACTTGTATTCCATGTGGTTGATGTTCACACGTTTTTATCTTAGCATGATAGAAGTTGTTAGATCCAGAGAGTAGCATGGTGTCTCTCTCTCTTTCCCTGCTAGCCTAATAACATAGCTAGTGCTAGGTGGGAAACAGCTTTCCTGCCCACAACTGTTATTCAGGAGTCCTTTTTTTTCCCTGTGTGAAATCTCAGAAAGTGTAAAAATAAATGTAAACTAACAATCTCAGTGGGAACTAATCTTGGGTCAATTTGAGTCATTCTGATGTCTTGAAGTGTTTGATTTCTGACTAATTTTTAATATGGCCTTTTGGTTGCTACTTTTTTAAATATAAAAAGGAAGAAATGGCTTTAAACTTTGGGATTATTTGTGTTTGCAGACTATAAAAGTGAAATTTCCCCAACATTTTCCCACAGTGCTCTCTGTTGAGGAACGCGTCCAAACTGTTCCCCACAAAAGAAGTTTCTGTTAACTTCACACATCTTTTTTTGCATGGAAAAAAAGAGTTTTGTGGAACTGTTCCCAAGCAACTCTGGGAATAAACATCCTCTTCATTACATCTACCATTTGCAAGCAAAACAAGTAAACAGGATTTCTGCAGAGCCAGAATTTATCAAAAGTGTCAAGATAAAGCGGATTCATTTTCTTGGAGCATATGTAAGGCAGTCTTTATGGCACGAGAGCAGAGGAGAGAATAAACAATCTTTACTGGCCATTAAAGAGGCCTTGCAGAACTGAATCATCTCATACTTGCAGAAGCTAGCGATTACTTCTCACACTGCTTTAATCCCTTTATAGTAAGGAGAAAACCTAATACCTGTAACCTGCCTCCCAATAGCTATAATCTACCTGATACCAACACATCCTGTTGAATCACTTATAAATGGCTTAAATCCCATTTCTGTTTAGTGACAGCCTGAACTGCCCTTCTATGGTGGGAAATTGGCTATGGGACACTAGGACAGCCAAGAGTCAAGGCAGGGGATTGGAATGGGATGAATTTTAAGGTCCCTTCGTACCCAAACCAGTCTGGGGTTCTGTGCTGCTTCAGCCTGTTCAGGCAATTTGCAGCATCCCATTTGGAGGATTATATATGTATATTTATGCATATATATATATCTATACACACATGGAATGTTTATTTCCCTCTAACCTGAGCTGTATAGTGGTAAATTGGAAAGCAGTCTTGGTTTTCAGTGACAAGCCATTCTGGTAGGGCCCAGGCAGGGTCTGTTCATAGATCCCTCCAAAACATTGCAGATCCTGCTATTCTGTGGAAGATGTCACAAGCACCAGAAAAATAATCTCCTACAATAAGAGCTATGCCTGGCACAGAAGGATCCCCTGATGGTTTGTCGCTGTTGCTGCATTAGCTCTGCAAGTGAGGCATGGTGAAGCATAGGGAAAGGGAGGAAGAGGCTTAAGTGCACAGCTGCAGTTACTCAAAAATCAGGCTAAAGCTGATGGAAATCAGCACACCTGGGTATCCGTGGCTTGGTTTTGAGAGCGCTGTGTGAAGCACACACACTTCATGCTGCCTGTGTTGATAAAGAGATCATCTAAAGAACTTTCATCCAAGCAAGAAGAGGTACGAGGATGTCTGAGAAGTCCTCCCTGTCCTTGTGTGGAAGAGTTGTTTAGGATTATAGCTTTGTTTGTGGGTTATTTGTGGGTGTTGTGTGTCACTGAGAGCCCTGTTCCCTGTCTTCTCAAAAACACAGGGAAAAGATGATGCAATCCACAGCTCATCTCTGGGAAAAATGTGCTCAGGCAGCAGAGCTCTCCCATGGGGTCAGTAGTATAGTGCAGTCCTGTCTCTGTCCTGTCAGTCCCCTGGTGTCAGTGCTATAAGCTGCTCTTGGTGAGCCTAAAGGACAGAAGGTGAGGACATGTGGGTTTGTCCTTCACTTGAATTCCTGTTGTGATGCTGGCAGCAGAGATGAATTCCCTCTCCGAAGCAGGTCCAGTCTCAGGAATCTGAGTAGCGCACTTTGCTGCTCAGAGTACTCGTAGCTGGACTGTGCTTTTGTGGCTTAAAAAGAAATGAAGTAAAAAGAATTCATTGGATATTAAATGGTAGCAAGTGGAAGCAAGAATTATTTATACGTTTATGAGAATTCTTTGCGATGTTGTTTAAAAAAAATAATCTGATGGTTGAAATTCCAGCTTTGTCCCTTATTTCAGTCATTCCTGTAAATAAAAAGCTTAAGCTTTGGCCCTGTGAGGTGCTATTTCTGTGTCTGTCCTAGGAGCAAGCTGCACAGAGTGTTTGCCTTTGACGTGCTATCGTCTTTCCCCAGGTGTTATTTATCTGGTTATGTTTTAAATATGCACACTGTTATTGTGAGCAAGCTACCAAAATCTCTTGAGCCCTCAAGACCTAAGCCCTGTTCTGCCCTCCCAGTCTCACTCCTAGGTGTTGCCACTGAAGCCTCGCAGCTCTTCTGGAGCTTGGTGAGAAGTGACCTTCATGCTGCTTGGGTTGTGTTGTTGAGCTGTCGAACAAAGGGGCTTTATCTCACCTGCGATATGAGCTTGCTTTGTCCTCAGTGAGTGTGATCAAGGAGGGAAGTGCAGCACCTTTGTTTCTGAATGAATCAGCTGCTCTGGTTCAGGGCTGTGTCTTGTATTGCTGGGCTTCAGTGCTGCAGCACGGCGCTGGTATTTTTGGCAGAATAAAGTCCTTCTACATCCAAATGACCACAATAGTGCCTTTATCTGGAAAGCATTAGGTTTTTCAGCCTTCTAAATAAACTGAATGCTCTAGAAGCATCAAATATGGAACATTTTGCTTGGTGCTGTTACACCTTATGAATCCTCAATGAAGTTACGATCTGTAGTGTTTGGTTGTTGGGTTTTTCTGCTTCCTCCTTGGTTCTGTGCTTGAACCATGTCTATTCTCCCAGACAGCTTTGCTGGGGAAGGAAAAGTAGGAGTAAGTTCATGTTTCCCTACTTTCAGAGGCTCTTCTGTGCCCAGGGCAGAGTTGCCTGCTGGTTTTGTGGGGCTCAGGTCCTCTCATTGAGTGAGGTTTCTGTGCCTTAGGTCAGTGCATCTCTGGGTCCTCAGCAATTGTGATTAGCTGGTACTGAAAGACCTTCAGGATAATGATAACATGCCTGACTTTGCACTTCCTTTGGCCCAAACAGGATCCTCTGTGTTCAACTTTTCTTAACTGAAACAAACTCCTGCAAGAGGGTTTCTTGGGTTGCATCAGCTGCGTTTCAGGGGCTGTTCCCAGTGCCTAAGAGGCATTTGGTTTCTAACATTTTGCATCTCGTGCATGAGCGCTGAGACTGCAGCTGGGTTCAGCATCCCCAGTTTTGCTCAGGACCTGTAAACTGGTATTTCTACCCAGAATGGTTAATGACTGCTGGTTGCCTGTTCCACCCCTGAGGCTTCTATCAGCCTGTATGGTGCTCCCCACTTTGAAGGTGGCTGCCTTCCTTTGGGCTCCCTTTTGGTGCAGTGTTGTTGATGGGTGTTCCCATGTGTGTGTTTTGGTCACTTTGATCTGGATCAGATGCCTGTTTTGGCAGGTCTTGCTTTGTTTGAAGCTCTTGCACAGTGCCGTGCAGTAGCACGTCACCAGCAGCATGGGTTTTTCTATCCACCTATTGATGTTCTACTTGCCCAAAGGGGTTTTCCAGCAGAGAACATTGCCCTGTCTTGTGTCAGCATCTGTACTGAACAACTGGGGTTTCTGACAGCTCAGGCTTGCCAGATAAAATGCTTGGGATATCATTTTTAATGACACCGAGAGTTGTGTTAATCTTGGAGCAGAACATAAACCCTTGCTTTGCCCTGGGGCAATCTCATGGAAACGTTTATGTTGTAAATGGAAACAAGGCCTGGGGTCACACTCCACATGCAGGAATTTGTCGTGCTTCAGATGTTCCTGTAGCTCTGTTAGGGGCTTCTGCGTCCTGCCTTCTTCATCTCTACATAAGCATCACATATCAACAGTGACTTTGGTTTTACTTTGGGGACTTACAGAGATATTAAAGAGCCTGCAAACTAAACCATATTCCTCACAGATCAGGTCAC